GGATACAGACGGAGCTTAGTAGGAATGAAGATATTTTAGGAAGGAAAAATGAGATAGAAAACACTGCCAGGACACGTAAGGATGGGGCAAAGGTCTTAGATGGCCCTAGCCGAGGAACCCATGTACGACAGCACCAGGAAGTGAAATGTACTGGTAAAGTGTCTGCACCAACTGGAGGTCACAAATTGGCGATCAACTCCAGTTAAAGCAGTAACTAAATAAAAGATGATAAAATCATTCAGTGGTAGAAAACTGTGGCCTATAAGTAAGGATGGAAGGTAAAGCAAATATTTAGAAAACTAAATCTGGAGGGGGAAAAACCCGAACTCTCCAGCACTTCACCGTGCGATCTGCCGAAGTCAGCAAAGCTGGAGATGTTTATTGTTTGAGGCAGGACATGCTTGTGTTGAGATCCTCCACTTTTAGACCTACTAGGTAGCCAGGAGGACGGGCATCTCTTGAGGACACACCAGAAGGGATTTCTCCTTTGCTATAAAGCCCACGGTGTTCTGCACGTGTATGATTTTGTTTGCCAGCATCTGCCATAAGGCCCCTCAGGAGAGGACCTCCCACCGGACAGGTATAAATGAATGCATGAATGAATGAACGAGCAATGCAGAAAAACTGAGGGGCTTTCTGATTTTGAGGTCTCAGTTTGGGCTTTTTTCCTCGAGGGGAGAGACGGATGTGTGCTTCAGAGGCACTCAGATAAGCCCGTGCTGAGTCAGGGTGATTCATCAGGCTAGAATTTTCCCACCTGCAGGAGCCAGTCCCCGCAGTGTCCCCATCCCCCTTTGCCTCGGTCATCTCCGTCATCCCAGCAGGAAATTACTACACTGTGTCTCCCACACGGATGATGAATCTTAGAAGCATTCTCACAGACTGTGGCAGGGCCCCGGACGGGGTCAAGTAAAAGTAAATACCAGCCCTTATTAGGCGATCCTGGCCTCCTGCGGTGCGTTTGCTGCGGACACCAGCGGCTTCCTGCTCTGTCACAGAAAGCAGAACGCAGGTCACCGCCTCCACGTGATGCTCCCTGACCTCCAGGAACTGCTTCCTTCCTCGCTCCTCACGTGATTGTTTTGGAGGATTTTACCGCGGGGCCCTGCCGCTTACGGCTCCACCCGGGGCTGGAGGCACGGGACCTCCTCAGGGAACCCAGGCAGCCGGAGGCCACCCCTCGAGGACTGCACACACCTTCATTTTCTAACTACCAGCCCGGCGTCCAGGAGGAGCAGAGGGGCGGAGGGATGGACTAGTGGTCATGCACACACACAAGCTGTGGCTGACGGAACCCTGGCTTTCCAGAACTGGTCTTACAAGGCTGTGGATGTGAGGGTATTAGTTGAGGTGGGAGGAGACTCACAGCATCTATTTGCTTAGTGACCCCACAGATTTAAAGTTATGATTGGTATTTAATGACTCTTAAATGCTCAGATACTCAGAAGCTATCATTTATTGACTCACAATTTTTTACACCCAACCACTGTCTTTGTTAATTCCCTTCTATCTACCTTTACCAGCTGCCTAAAGTGGGGAAAGCTGCTTTACTGGGGGCTCCCCACGGCATGGAGCACAGAGCCACGTGCACGTTCCCTGAATGAATGAATGAATTTGTTGGGAGAACTACTGTGGGATTTCAAATCTGTGCAGGACAAGACAGGGCAGATTAGAAACTCGGCTAATTCCCTCCTCAGTTGTGTCCACTGTTCCATGCTCTTTGGGACCCTCGTGGCCGCTTGTCCCTGGTCCCTCTGGGCGGGTACTACCCGGCTGTGCTCTGCTAAGCAAAGGCCTTCATGGACTGAAGACCAGATCTTTGGCCCTGAGGGGCTGCCATCAGGGAGGCCATTCTAAGGAAGATAAAGCAAGTGCTCCTCGTGTTTTTGTTAACTGAGGTAGGATTAAATTATACTCAATAAATTTTACCCTTAAAAAACGTGTAGGTCTATGAGTTTTGACACATGTATACAGTCATGGATCCACCACCACAATTAAAATATAGAGAAGGGGTCCCCAACCCCCCGGCCATGGAACGGTATCAGTCTGCGGCCTGTTAGGAACCGGGCCGCACAGCAGGAGGTGAGCGGCAAGGGAACGAGCGAAGCTTCATCTGCCGCCGCTCCCCACTGCTCCCCATTGCTCGCGCTGTGGCCTGAAACGTCCCCCCTCCCCCATCCGTGGAAAAAACTGTCTTCCATGAAACTGGTCCCTGGTGCCAAAAAGGCTGGGGACCGCTGATATAGAGTATTTCCGTCACCCACAAAAGGTTGCTGGCGCCCCTCTGCAATCTGTCCCCTCCCCCCGTCTGCCCCCTGGACCACTGATCTGAATTTTTTTTTTACCTTCAGTTGCACCTTTTCTAAAATTACCATTCAGAACCTGTTTTATTTGAACCCTTCTCTCTCTTCCAGCACCGTCGCTATGCCTCCCTCAATGGGAAACTCCACCGCCAGCTCCTGTGCTTACTCTCTGGTCTCCCCGTACCGCCTACGATGGTTCTGCCCAGACCCTCGAGGGCTCCTGTTACCCCATTGGCTCCGGAAACATGGCAGTTTTCCTAGTACCATCCTTTACCGCTTATTTCTCTCGTGCATATCCTTGCTTCTCCCCTGTGTCCACCCTCATGTATATGCTTAAAGCTCTCAGGGCCTTCTTCCTGCCTGTTCCTTTCTTCTGAGGGCTGTGTCTGTATTTCTCATGGATTCACAGCATTTTATAGATCCTATGAGCACTTTCAGCTCTCTACGTACTGGCCAGACGCATTTCTGGCCCTGCCCATCTGTCTTCTTGACTGTGTTCCTTCCGCGACGGACAGCATCACCGTCTACACTCAGGCTAGAAGTGTCCTTTGCCCCGAGCCCCACGTGCAGGTGGCTACCTTCAAAATATACCTCGAGGGCTTCCCTGGTGGCGCAGTGGTTGAGGGTCCGCCTGCCGATGCAGGGGACACGGGTTCGTGCCCCGGTCCGGGAAGATCCCACATGCCACGGAGCGGCTGCGCCCGTGAGCCATGGCCGCTGAGCCTGCGCGTCCGGAGCCTGTGCTCCGCAATGGGGGAGGCCACAACAGTGAGAGGCCCGCATACCGCAAAATAAATAAATAAATAAATAAATAAAAATATACCTCGATTTTGTCTCTACTCCCCATATTTACTTCTACGGCTGCCATGCCAACCTTGATTACCTCTGGCCCCAGCCGCTATCTCCCTGGGTCTGGTTCTCTTTCCTCTAAACATTCTCCACATTGCTACCAGAGCTATTTTTCTAAAATATAAATCAGACATTTTTCTTTTCCAGTGGTGAGGACCCTGGGCTTTTACTTCTGAGGGTGCAGGTTCGATCCCTGGTGGGGGAACTAGGATCCTGCAAGCCACGTGGCACGGCAAAAAAAAAAAAAAAAAAAAAAAAGGAAAAAAAAAAAAAACCAGACACGAAACCCACCTTACAGTAACTCCCCAGTGTGCATGGGATAAAATCCAAGGTCTTTAAGATGGCAGCTGAGATCCTTAACAGTTTGGCCTGGTGTTGCTACCCTAATCCCATTTCTCAGCCTCTCAACCCGTGTCCAGCTCCAGCCACACTGGACCACGCTGGGAAGGGTACCATGTATTTCTGTGCCTTTGAGTCAAAATTCACCGTTTCCCCAGTTCAGAGGTTGATTCTCTTTTTCTTCCACACACCCCCCTGCCCCCAACCTGGTAAGAAATAGCTACTGCCTCCCTGGTGCCCTCAGAGTATTTCAAATGCCAACACCAACACCATACGTACTGGATGCCTCTGTGCTGTTCAGCCCACTGCTCCTCTTAGTATATCCTCACAGCTCCTCCTCTTAGTATCTCTGTGCATCACGGGCATTAAGAATTCAAAAAACGCTTCTTGAAAACACTTTGCCCAATATCAGACGAAACGTGTAAACATGGAGGCAAGCAACTCTGTACTCATGATGCACTTTTTACCCATCCACTGCCTAAACAACAGAGCCACATGGCTTATTTTAAAAATTGCTATGTTTCCTGTTTGGACTTGGATCAGCTTGTAACAACAATGACAGCAACAGAGATGATCAAGATTTTCTGTGCTGAATCTAATCCAGGGGCGTCCCATGATGAGAAGACAAACCAAGGGAAACCACCATATCTCTGTGTGGCTATAATGAAGCATTTTATGTATTAAGCCTAACATCATGGATTTTAAGTGCTTTGATAAGCTTTCACTTCCGTGCTATCTCCCCTCCATCCAAAGAGAAGCTTTGAAATAACAATAACCATCCCGTAGCAACAATGTCCCGTCACAAGGTCAAAAACGAGAACTCATGTGATTTGCTCATTTTCTTAGGCAGAGCTCCCCCCTTAATGTGCTGACAAAGAGGTGAAGGCTGAAAGACTGATCTCCCCAGCCCTGGGGTGGGGGGCTGGTCCTGTCTCTTGGACATGGCGGTGGCCTCCATCTACCCCACCGCAGTGAAGTCTTCTCATTCTGAGGGCAGTGATGTGAAGATCCAGAAGCCCTACACTGAGCCACCCCACCACTTCAACAGCAGGCTGGCTCCTCCCAAATTATTTTCTTCCATGTTCTATGAGGGGGGAATCGACTTTACGACTCAAGGGATCCTGAAGACAGGGCAGATTAGGAACTGCCAATGCAGGGGACACGGGTTCGTGCCCCGGTCCGGGAAGATCCCACATGCCGCAGAGCGGCTGGGCCCGTGAGCCATGGCCGCTGAGCCTGTGCGTCCGGAGCCTGTGCTCCGCAACGGGAGAGACCACAGCAGTGAGAGGCCCGCGTAACGCAAAAAAACCCAAAAAGATAAAGAAAAGAAAAATTCAAACCCTGATGGCAGGTGCATTTTTCACGGTGGAAGAGAGTATTTAGGAAAAGAGCAAATACCATTAATTACTTCCCAATACCCGATCTGTAAGGCATTCCCAGAGCATAAGGATTTCAGGCATCATGACAACACAGACTGGGGAAGGTTTCTGGAGAATGTTACACACTCACCGTTCCAACCAATGGGTAAATGAACCCAGCGCCTATGCTGGCCCGTACGTCACTAACGGGTAGAATGAAATCCTTGGGTACGCCTTTCTTGTCAGGTTGGTGAGACAGGGAAAGGTGGGTCTTAGCCATGCAGATGGGCAAATTTCCAAAACCCTGTAAGAAAGGAAAGGAAAGATGTTCCTTGAGCATAAACGTTCATCTCCTGTACTTGTTTGACCCGCACTCCACAGAATCCCCACGACTCATATCCACACATACAACAGTGCTTGTTACTGCTTGTTCATTGAACAAGATGATGAGACAAAAACTCATCTGCACGAGATCATCACCTGGCAAGTTGAGGGTGTCTATTACTTATTTTGGATAATTCTTGTCACAGAAAGGCAGCATTATGTGTGTCTTTGAAGAAAAGGTGGTTATTTGCAGGCAAGCAAATAACTGCAGGCAGCAGCAGCAGCAGCTGTAGAAACCACTTTCTAAGGATATTAATATCCGGCACTCAGAAAGGTAATCTGGAGAAAGGCTTTGTAACAAGGCTTTTAGTCCCGTTGTTCGCCCATTCTTAGAGGCTGTCAGGAAGCAAAGAGCCTCTTTGTGTTGTTTTATGAATCATGGCTATTTGATCTGCGATTACATTATATGAACTAAGATGAGGTCACTATTTAAGCCTCTTATTTTTAAGGACCAAAGGCGATGCCTGACCCAGAGTTCCAAAGGTGAAAGGGGAGGCAGTCACATGTGGGGTCTCACAAAAAGGACAGTGTCCTCGCTGCCTGGTCCCGATTAAGGGTACACAGTGCCTCCTTAGAGACTTTGCTAATTAACTGCAACCACATACTTGACGCATAACTTTTAAGAAACTTTCCCTCGGTGGACAGACAGAGATAAAAGGAATGCAATCTTCAGAGGTAACCCACACAGAATTTCTTATGATTCAACCTAGAGCTACTTGGAAGATTTCAGAGTACTATCAACTGGGGTTGGGGGTGGGGTGTTCCCTTTACTCTTAGATACGGATCAGAAATCTGCTGGGTGGCGATCACAATTGCCCTACAGAAATGGTGCCCAGAATTTTGGGTTTCAGAGATCAATCAAATATTGACATAATTTTTATGAACTGATATGGGTTTGCCAATTTAAAAGTTTGCCAGTAAGAATATATTTTTTAAGAACCCAATATGCTATATACCATCACCATATTACTTCACAAAAGAAAGAAGATTTTAAGCCTGAGAAAACATCAGGAAGGACCTAATATTCAAATCAATGATAGTCCTTAAATAGCATTATTAAAAACTTATTAAAAAAAAACACCTCATGACAATGACCTTATTTTACTCATTTCCTTGCACATGAGTGAAAATTTCGCTGCAGAACAATGCCAGTGTGTACAGCAATGTTTGAGAATCATTTATTAAAAAAGCACAAGCCAAGAGCATTCTAAGCTCTTGGAAAATCCTAAGAAGAAATGAATTGCTGACTATCTTACCAAACCTGGGAGACTACTGTGGCTAGTGCTGGTAGCATAGGACAAAATATTAAATATGCTTTGAAAATAGAATTTAGGAGTTGGGGGATTAAAAAAAATAGACCAGTGACATGCATCATGAAGCTCTTTTGCCCCCAAGCTCTTGAAGAGCTCTGACTTCTATCTGATCACAGCAAACTGCAGGGGGTGTTTGAGGCACACGGCCCCTCTGGTTAAGGTGGCCGAACACGCTGCAGTGGAGCCTATTCGACATAACCATCACAGGACCAGACTCTCGCTGCTGAATCTTGGCCATGTGCACGGCAGAAGGTGATGGAGCCTTCAGCCATGGTGGACAATCTCAGCACCAAGCCAGTGAAGCACTTATATAAGAAAGAACACCAAGCACCCCCAACTTTACGTGCTGCAGTCCTCTTTGACTAACCTGGCACCATGCTACCATTTTTAAGACAGTAAGAGGAAGCCGTACAGATTATTTAACTCTTGACTCCACTGCTGCACGCCCAAGAACAGTTTCAATGTTTCTGGCTGACTAGCAGGGGCTAAAGATCACACACACAGATAAACATGGACACTACCTGTATTAGACAAATTTATAACCATAAAAGCCAATGATGTATGTACTCTCACCATAATTACAGTTAACGTCCTACCCAAGGACATTAATTCAATTTTTGTAGACCACAGAGTAGATTAAGCCAAGTTCAGCTGGTGGGATATACACCAGCTACCAGAGGTTGAACCTACTGTCACTTTAGCAAATTATGAGACAACAAGGAGAATGGGAAAAATCTGAGAAGACTAGATATGGGCAAATAAGTGTGTGGGGAGGAGATGGAAAAATCTTCCACAATGTTGGATGCAACACTTGGATATAGGTTGCTAGTGAAATACTAAAAGTGGCCTTCAGGTTGAACCTACTGTCACTTTAGCAAATTATGAGACAACAAGGAGAATGGGAAAAATCTGAGAAGACTAGATATGGGCAAATAAGTGTGTGGGGAGGAGATGGAAAAATCTTCCACAATGTTGGATGCAACACTTGGATATAGGTTGCTAGTGAAATACTAAAAGTGGCCTTCAGAAACAAGGATGGTTCATTAGAAAAGGAATGTGCCATGGATAAGGTGATTCTTAATTCAAGCAAAGCATTTGACAAAATTGTTCCTAATTTCACTGTGGGTAGAAAACACATAGGTATAATGAAGACAGCTGGTGGAGGTACCGTTCAGTGGAGGGCTGCTGGACCAAGTGCTGATGGAATGGACGTCAGCCAAGGGGCAGAAGCCTCTCATGGCCCACCTCAAGGACTTTGCTGGGCAGCGGCAAATGGTACATTTGCATGAATCACTGCTGATATATACCTAACAGGAGAAAATAAAAGCTAGCTCTGCTCTGCCAATCTGATAGTACCCCAAATTACTTTAAAATGTATTTTTTAGGGCTTCCCTGGTGGCGCAGTGCTTGAGAGTCCGCCTGCCGATGCAGGAGACGCGGGTTCGTGCCCCGTTTTGGGAAGATCCCACATGCCGCGGAGCGGCTGGGCCCGTGAGCCATGGCCACTGAGCCTGCGCGTCCGGAGCCTGTGCTCCGCAAATGGGAGAGGCCACGACAGTGAGAGGCCCGCATAACGCAAGAAAAAAAAAAAAAATGTATTTTTTATTACTACAGTTTTTATTACTGTAGAGTTGCTCTGTGGTCTGGAACTGAAATATTGGATGTTTCAACAAATGAAAAAGAAATGAAGGTGCAAGTCATTATGATCTTTCGCTGAAGGACGTAAAAGAGGATCTGAATCAATGGGGAGAAATACTTTGTTCATGGGTGAGGAGATGCAATACTGAATAGAGGTCGGTCTCTCAAACTTAATCTATTAGTTCAATCCAATTCCAATAAAAATCCCAAGAGCACTTAGGCTACGTGGCCAACCAATTTTAAAATTCATAATGAAGAGTAACGGCAAAAATAGGTAAGATAACTTCAAAAATAAATAAAACCAAAAGAACAAAGATAAGGGACCTGCCATACCAGGTATCAATCATACTACAAAACTACGCTGATTAATTCCATGTGGTATCGGCACAGGACGAGATGATTAATCAAGGGAAGATAACAAAGAACACAGAAGGACACCTCAGCAGGTGTGGGTTAGTACATAGTAGACATGGCACAAAACAGGGAAAGGACTGACTACTGAACTGACTTTTGGCTGGAGAAATAAAATTAAATTCCTGCCTCACACCAGGCCCCTAAATAAGTCCAATATGGAACAAAGGCAAAATCTTCAAAACTCTACATATTGGGGAAAAAAACTGGGGAACTCTCTTTATTATCCTGAGGTACGGAAGGATTTCTTAAACAAGGTAACAACAGACTCTGCCTTAAAGGAAATGATTTATAGACCTGACATTGAAACTTAAAGTTCCTTGTATTAAAAAAAAAAAAGACATCAGAAATAAGGATAAAGCATAAGGAACAGTCTGGGAGAAGATGCTTGCAAATAGTTAAAAGATTAGTTACTAGAATGCATAAAACTCCCACAAACTCAGAAAAAGACAAACAAATATTTAATATTAGGCAAAAGAGTGACTAATAACAATATGAAAAAATGCCCAATCTCATTAGTGATCAAGGAAAGGCAAATTAAAATGATGAAAAACCAATTTACAACCGTGAGATCAGCAAGACTGAAAGTATGAGAATTTCAAGCGTGGGTGAGGATGTGGGGAAGATGACCCTTCAAAGTGCTCTTGGTTGAGATGTTAAAGGTCTCGCCTACCATGAAAGCTTCCTAACTGGTTTCTTCACTTCTAACCGCCCCCACCGCACCACTCTACTGCAAGTCTAACCTTCTTAAAATGTACCTAAGTCAGAAAAACTCAAGATCACCTCTGCTAAAACTCCCTGAGCGCTCTAAGATCTATCTCAAAGGCCAGCATCTCCAGGAAGCCTGTACTGACCGTCCTCAAGCACACGTGGGCGTTCTCTTCTTTGCCATCCGATAGCCCTGTAATGCTCTGACCTGGGTGTTACATGGCACCAGAGGTTCAGCAGGGCCTGGCAATGA